GACATTGTAGGGTCAACCACCTGATAACGGCTTTGGGTTTGCTCTTATTCACTTAAATAACATTCATGATTTTGTAGATCAACAGGTGTGGCTTCTCCAATTTCCTTACATTTAAAGTAATCTCAGCTTCTTGAAAAATTCACCATATGCAGAAGATTGTTATAGGTCTTGATGTTATGTCCATGGACAGAAGCAAAGTCATGGGTCACTCCTTCCTGCATTTCTAACAGCTCATTCCCTTTGGAGATCTCTAGGGTGCAGCAGAAATACCGAGTGGTAGATGTGGGACCCATCTCTAGCTTTTTTCTTTAGGCTTCACCCTATTACAGTCATACAAAAGTAATTGATGTCTGCTTATATGGTAGGTGTAGACATCTGTATTTTAGACAAGTATATCTGTTAGCTGAACCTTATCTTTACTTTATTAATTTGTATCTCTAGAACACATCAACTAATACAGAAAAACTACCATTCCTGAGAAAACAACATCTAAAAATGCCCAAGTTTGCATTGTTTACAGATGATTTAGCATCTTAAAGCTGGCCAAGTGCATGCCTGGCAGATGAAATCAAAGAACATATTTCCCCTTTCTTGATTCACACTGTTGAGCTATGACATTTCCCCAGAGATTTATGTTTCTGGAAGGTTCAACCTGCAGTGACCAAAGATATTCATCAGTCAGAAGGGTCATCACCAGACTCCAAGAAGCACTTTTGCACGATGTCTTTCAGCTGTTTCCTGGAAACCTTCACCAAAGGAAATGGAGCTTGCTGAAATGCAGAGAGTGAGAATCTTTCCCCAAGCTTGATTATGTGGGAGTGTTTCAGTTTATCCAGTCCATTGAATAACCTTGAGAACTGTAGGAGAGTTTTTGCCTTTGCAGCTTGAGCTTTTATCTGACTCAGCCGCAGGCCCAAATCTTTGTTTGCCTTAGAACAGCAGTCAGTCAAAATCACTCACTGTATAAAAATCTTTTCATGTAGATGCAGTCTTTTACCAGTGATGTTCACTCAGCATTTTAATCAAATGCAGGGGCATCTTAAATGCAGACAGTTTTCTGTTGGCTGCATGAGGCTTCAGACAAGACAAAGCAATGTAACTTCCCAGAAAAGAATGTGGTATCAGCTCCTAGGCTATCCTGAGATAGGGATGCTGTGGAGTGCAATGTTCATATCCAGCAGCTTGATTGAGCTCCAAATGCTAAAACATGTCCTAGAAAGTTATTTTCAGGATTATTAACAACCATTAGTGCACAGATGCTAGATTTACATGAGGGCATAATAGCCCCTACGAATTCTGAAACATCTGGCAAATGGGATCAGGAATGTAATTTTGGTTGTTTTTGACTCATCCACTGAGATGTGGTTCCCCCTGAGTCTGCTTGTGAGGTTTATTGTGGGTCTAGGACAAATATAAATACCTCTTAGTGCCCAGCACTGGGCACCAAGTGGTTCAGATAGCTTGTCAGCACCTCAGATATCTCTTGTTGCATCTCAGTGCATTCAGTTTGCCTCACTGCTTTGTTTCACATCGAAGCCAAGTTACAGTCAGGCAGCTGCTTCTGTGTTCCCAGTGGCTTCCAGGCTTTCAGCAGTGTTCCTCAGGGGTCAGGACTGGGACAGGCACCATTTAACATCTTTGTTGGTGATCTGGACACAGGGATTGACTGTACCCTCAACAAGCTTGCTGATGACATCAAGCTGTGTGGTCACACGTTGGAGTTCCACCTGGTTTAGTGGAAGGTTCACCTGTTTCTGATATGGGAGGTGGGACTGGATGCTCTTGAAAGCCCTTTCCAACCCAAACCATTCTATGGCTCTGTGTTCCAAAGGATAAAATCCAAAATTGCTCCATTTCAAAACCTTCAGGTCAAACTGCTTTGTTATGATCATATTAAAGGGTGATAATGTCTTACACAGACTCACTCTTTGAATAGCATTTGTATCTGACCCCTATATTACATTTTGGGTGGAGAAATAAACCAAAGTTACAATGCGAGTTTGTTTCTCTAACAATTAGCTTGAAGTACAGTTTTGGTGTCTCCAGCTTGTGGCCAAAGTTTAGGTAAGATAAATGACATGGTGCCTTTTCCTTTGTATTTCCCCCAAATCTGATGCAGGTCTGAAGTATGAAGATTTCCATAACCACTTGGCCAAAGAATAGTATCAGCTTTGCAAGGGACAGGGTCCAGAATCATATTAGAGCTGGGGGCATCAGTGCTGTGGTTATCCCTTACGCTCAGGTTGCTTCACAGATCATTTTCACTGCCCTCACACTTTTTACTATGATGCCCTACTGCCACAATATGATGTTTTGATCATTAACCAAAATTTCCCATGACTCTGATCATACCTGGAATGCACATAACTTGAACAATGACATATAGTTTGTATTAAAAGAATAAATAAACTCCATTTTAAAGCTCTATTTATTATATATAATGATACCTAGCTAACAAACAAAAAGAAACAGATGTAATTTCAAGTAGTTTTCCAATGTAAGATTTTAACAGTTTTATGAACAAAAAGCTATTGATGGAACCTGGGAGGCTTTCATATCTTCAGTTGATTATATTGTAAAATAGCTCAATAGTGAGAGAAATTCTAATTCAGGAATGTGAAAAGGATTTGATATCGGGGAATAAAAGCACTTTATTGAACAGTGCTTTGATAAACATTCTGACTTTAAATATATTTTTTCAGTTTACCATTAACTTATTTAGAAATTATTCACAGAAACCAAGTTAGATGTCACAATCATTAGTCTGAGATTCTCCAATTACTTTACATCAGAATCTGTCACTCTTAGAAATGAAGATATTTGAGGGCAAAATTTGTTCTGAAATCTAATTTTATATGTTTTGGGGTCACATAATTGTAGAGTGATTATATATTTGAGTATACATTTCTGTTTTGCATTCCTAATGTAGTGGAATTAATTACCTGAGGAAAAAAACAGTGCTATTTCTATGCATTTTAAAGAACATTTTTCTTACATGTTCTCATCACAATCCATGACTACAATAATGACCATCAACAGTATTATGAAACTTATATTCAATTTCAACATAAAAATTCAAGTAAGTTGCAAGGATACTCTGTTTTCCAGAGAAAATAACTCCATATGACCAAGTTCACCAATAACCAGCCCACACTTCAGAGGGATTAGCAAGGAACTATATTTGAGCTCTGCATCTGAGAGTGCTAAACCATGACAAACAAGGAAAAACTCTCATGTCATGTATTAGATAATATGAAAATATTAGGGAAAAATGAAGTCATTGAAAAATGAAGTAACATGTCACTGAAATCCTCTGAACTTCAGGAAGTCTGTTGCATCCTTTGTTCACCTAATCTGCTAATTTAATAAATTTTGCCTTTGGGAACTAAACTGAATTAAAAAGAACTGAGAATTAAAAAGCTGTTAGACTAACGTTTTTTGTAAAATCAGTGCCAAAAAATCTATATTCTACTTCTTTCTGACATTTTGTTTCTTCATCTAAAATTTCTGTGTATCTATTTGGTATTAGAAACATCATGCTGGCTATAACATTAGCCTTGAAGCAAATCCTGTTCAGGATTTAAAAAGAAATAATACTTCTCACAACCTTTACACTTCATACTTGGCAAGTCCTGGAGAGTCCTACAAAATAAACTAGAATCCAGGGTGATTTATTCTGACATACGAATATGACTATGATTAAAAAATTTACTACAATAAAAGAAGGATGAAATGAAATTTCCAGAAAAATCACTTCAGACTATTCCACTCACATTATTTGTGCCTGCATGTGTTTCTGTGTCTGCCCCCTACACTGTAACACAGTAAAAGGATCTTTCTCTGCTGCCATGATCCATCCACAATGATCTGTTATCAACGTTTAGAAAATTATCTTCATAGCTACTTTGGCCACCATGAAAAGGGGCTTCTACAGAGGCAACAAAATCCCAAACTAGCATTTCTTTATTTCAATGTCTGGTGAGAAATGGAAGGATAAATTATGCTCATGGGATAAGTTATGCTGACAAGAGATGGTACAGAGAGACAGGGCTGCACAAACACAGAACACAGGACTTCAGTCCCTAGTAACCAGCTGTATCTGTGGAAAGCTCAACTGGACCTAGAGAACAAAAATCATAAAACCGTATTTTGTATTTGTATCGTATACAAACAATGGTTTGTATTCCCCTGCCACCTGCTAGACCAGACTGCTTGGGGCCCTGTCCAACCTGGCCTTCAACATTTTCAGGAATGAGGCATCCACAAATTCTGGGCAAATGTCTTAATCCTTAAGAGTGGAGAAACACTGGGATAGGAGTCCAGAGGCTGTGGAATCTGTATCTTATGAAATTTTCTCAGGAGCCTGAGAAACTCGATCCAATCACAAAGTTAGCTTTGTTTTAAGCAGGGGGCTAGTGATTGAAGGTCTCTGCCAACTGAAATCATTCTATTATCCACTGACTGTCTTTTCCTAAAGTAGATGACAACTGCTTGGAAACTGAATTTGTCTTCCTCCAAAAGAGTTTCATTCATCCATAGACCTGATGTGACCTTTCAGACAGTGGTTTTCAATCTTTATCAATCTGTGAACATGAAAATGTTTGCAGTGGTGGGCCACATCTTCAGAGCAGCTTTCAATCTCTTCAGAAGAAGTTTATTTTATTTCATGAGTTTTCACAGATTCTTTTTTAATAGGACACAAATGCCTATGTGTCCATATGCCATACTGAAAACTCTTGTTATGATGACTCTAATGAGAACAGTATTGGATCTGACTCAACTGATTATTTTGCAAAACCATCCTTTCTAAAGAAATAAATTACCACTTAGTAATCTGTGCTGTTTCTTTTCTTTCCATGTAGACTTCCCTCAAGTAAACAGCCTATAAACCATATCCCATTTTTATGTAGGGAAATGCAGAGATCTTTTCTCCCTTAAAATATTGTGAAATGGGAAAAAAACCTTCCTGGCATTTGTTAGCAAGAAATTTTTGCCGGGAAACTTACCTTTTCTACATATCAACACAGAAAGTCATATGGGAAATGTATGCATTTATGGAGAGAGTGAGACTCAGAAATCTATTTCTCATATAAAAGGACAGAGGAACCTTCATAATTACCTGTTTCCATTTTCCCATCTTGCGCTGCAGGCCCATCAGGAATTACACTCTTCACCTGGAGAAACTCATCTGGCTCGTCCCCACCAATGATGGTAAATCCAAAACCCATGTTGCTTTTCTTAAGAGTTGTGCTGAGGAAAGTCCCCTTCAGCTGTGATGCATCACGGGTGAAGAGTGGTTTTTCTACATCAGTCAACACAAACATGAAAGACAAAAGTTCTGATCTAGTCACAACAAAGCAGAGAGAGCAGATAACAATATTGGCTGACATCAAGTGGCAGTGTATCAAAGGCAAGAAAATAAAGAGTGCAGGCATTCCAGGAAAAAATATTTGTGGGTTCTTGTACTACTACAAAGCTTAAAACATATTTCTTATCTATGGCAGATCAGCCATAAATAAAAAGATATAAATATCCTTTGATATTAGAAATCCATTTGGAAGTGGATATTGTGTAGCTAAAATAATTACAACAATAAAAATGATGTGTGAGATAATTTAAAAACCTCTTTCCTAACCTATAAATTCAGCTTTGTCTGCAAAGTAATACATTCTTCACAATTCCCCTCCCAGCCACAATGAGGAAAATATCCCCTGTGAATGTCTCATTCCATTTGTCACCACGAAGAGGCAAACATTAGAGGAGCATTTCTCTCCAAACACGGGGGGTTCAGGCATCCAACAAGTGACACACACGAGTGCCGTGCGAACTCCGCGTCCCCTCTCGCGTGCCTCGGGGCGCAGTGCGGGTGCCCGTGCCTCTCTCCATGCTGCACTGGGTGAGGGAGGGTTGTGGGGAATGCGGAGTTTGTGAGCCCAGGTGGTGACAGAGCAGTCGGTGTCCCCGGCAGGGCCGTACCGTGCAGCCCGCACGCCCCGGCGGGGTCGCGCCGGCTCTGCGACAGGTCATTGACGCTGCGGGACCTCCTGGGAGCGGGGCGCAGGCGGGCAAATTTGGGTCTAGGTAAGGTTGAGGAGGAGCTTTCTACTGTTACAAAGGAGAACAAGCCTCATTCTCTGGCTATAACCTTACATTAAAGTTCATTTGTCTATACCAGTACTGTTTGCTCTTATACAGCTCCTTTGGAGCACGTTAATTTTTATGTTACCGAGTAGCTGCGTTCTTGTAAACTCGTATAACACTGTGCTTGAGGCTTTTAACTTAATTGATGCTTGCTAGATGAGCTAGCTTAGAAACATACTAAACATCAATTAGAGTAATTTAGAGAAAGTACAATTAAGTATTTCAGTGTTGCCAACTTCGGGTGCTCAAGAGAATGACATACCTTACCAGGAACAGAATTTATGATTTTATTTAGAAAATTACTTTGGGAGTCTTATTGTGCTTTCAGTTTCTCCGCCTTTAGGAAACACTTTCTGTTTTATTTTCTGTGCCTCTGAAAGTTTTAGTTCGCTGGTGAGTCCTGCAACTACTGGAACTCTGACATTTAATGGAGAAAATCGCTAAGATATAGGTGATAACCTTTTGAGCATTGGCAACACTACTCTTTTAACCAGACTATGACAAAATCATTGTCACATAAACAGGAGAGCAGGATCTTTCATCTTAACTAAGAGAGCTGACATGGTACTGTACCTCGGAAACCTTGGGCCTGCATAGGCTTTGTTCCCAGTTCTGCGTTGGGCATGTTATGCTGCTGTAGCTTCCTTTTTGCTTCTAGGACAGGGTTTTCAAATTGAGTTCTTCTATTTATGTGGCTGGAAAAAAATCGGCTTTGATTAAAAACTGTGTTCAGTTGGGTAAAATGATAATTTTCACAGTAGGGTGCCGTATGTGGCTAAGGTGTGTGTGGTTAGAGGGTAAAACTGGGGAACCCCCAGTGGGCCTGAGTGTGTCCCTTACATTCCACACAATTTTGTTGGGAATGAGAATATACAACCCTGTGTAATGAGCAGCATCCTCTCACTTCAATATGCTGAACTCTGCTACAGACAAATGGTTTTGATCTATGGGACTACAAATTAAACAGCAGCACTGCTGAAACATGCTACAGCAACAGTTTTACATGTCTTCAGCATGAAGACTGTTCTTTGTATGATTCAAAGAATCTCAACCAGTTTTTTGCACTATTAGCAATTAGTTGTAAGTGAATTTACTCAATCACTTACAGAAAAAGAAAAGCCTAGACAACATAGTGCTTTTATGATGGTAATTTACAAATAAATCTATCATAGGTAATGAATTGAAGATTATTCCTTTTACGCACTATGGTGCGTATCTGCTCAGCTGTACAGAAAAATAAGATGCAGAAACTAAATTAGATGGCAGAACTACATAGATCATATATGAAGTATAAGAAAAGTTAGTGCACACATTTTTTTCTTGATGTTTTACATTTCCTACTACAGGTCATTAAGTCCATCTCTGGCATTACACCACTATTTTTCTGCATTGTGTTTAGGATCTTTACCACTACTGTCACCATATCCTTGATTTTAATTCTTTAGAGCACATATTTTATCGACCACTGAGCAATCCTTCAATCCTGTCCTGGGATTTGTTTATTTATTTATTTTTTTTTAAATTTTTTTGGAGAAGGCAAAACAATGTAGTAAGTTGCATGGAACATAGCTGCAAGATATCACAGTAGAATCACAACAGAGAAGGGGCTTGTGCTTCAAAGACCGTTCTGGGCAAACAAATATTTATGTACAGAAGGGCAGGCTTATGTCACTCCTTATTTGTTCTCACTGGGTCTTCTGAAAATTCAATCCCAAACATGGGTTTAAGCACTTGGACAGGTTACCTGTTACTTTCACAACTCTAAGATCTTAAAAGGGTCTTTTTTTGTATTGCAATGACCTGTTGTGCCACATTAAGCATTTGACAGGTCCTTTGAGATTTTGATCCTACCACTACTTCAAAGAAAATAAGTGGGATTGCCATTAGGAAGTGAGGCAAGGCAGCAAGCCCTATGGGAGTGCAATACACTTGCAGAGTAGGATTTAGTGGCCAACGTTCAATGAAATGAAAAGACTTTCAGTCATGTAAAAGAATATTTGATTTAATGAGATGAAGTAAATGTGATAAATCCTTAAGTTGCTACTTTATTCATATGGCTATAACTCACTGAAGTGGTTGCTAGCTTACTCTCATACTCTAAAATTTTGATTAACAGCTTTCAGTAAGTTTTGGTGTATGCTTCAGACAAAGTCCCTCTCTTTTCTTTCCTTCTTCAGACAGGCTGATTAAAATTTTAGGTGTTCCTTTCCTAGACTTTTGCTTTCTATTATTTCTAGTAATTGTCAGGGTCTTCAGCACCTTACTCTATTGCAAACCTAGAAACTTATGATGAAAGGGAGAAAAACTTCACTAGTTAAAAATGGAGAAGGCAAGACCTATGTGCATTAAAAAGGCAATCCTGAACTGCTAACATAAGCATGAAAATAGTAATTATGCGATGTGTTTATCATTTGATGTATTTCCATGTTGTAAATGAAATACTGCTTTTGCCTTTACACAAGACAGTGATGAAACTCAAATACTACATAAAGTTCTGAGCACCCATGATCAAATGAAATGAATCTATATGAAAGGTTTTACAAGAAGACCAGTGAAATAGAGTATTCTATTATAGAAGATCAAAGGAGTTTTAGCTTTTTATTCAAGCAGAATTAATTCTGATATATAATTGCATTCAATGAATACATTTGGAAGTAAATACTAGAATATATTAAAGATGCCAGGATTTCAGACTTGAAGTCTGTAGGCTTCTCACAAGAGAAGTGTGAAGTTAGAAAACAGCTTCCAGTAGGAGGTACAGAGTACAGTATCTAGCTTGTTTTATGTTAGCATTTGATAAGATTAAAACCAGCATCGCTACACACGTGGGTTAATTGCTTCAACATAGGGATTATCTCTTACTTTAGGGACTCTGAAGTATCCTGCCCCATTCTCCAGCTGCCCTCCACAAGAGCAGAGGTTTCCCATGGCTTTTGTGCCATATCATGCAGATGTAATGGATATCCAAGATTACACTCCAGATCCTCATTCAGGACCTTGCTTTATGCTTAGTGTCATGTTGCAATTGCAGAGCACATCTCAGAGCTGCAGGAGGGCCCCTTCAGACCTAAGACTCAACTTATATGTGGTTCTGGGATATAAAAGAAGTTGGGATTTTAGCTAATCTGTGTTCATGGCTGAAGAAAGATTAATTACTGTGGTACAGACGACACAGCAAGAATCCTTTTCTACTGCCTACCTACAGCTACTACGTAGAGTTTAAGTTGTGGTTTGGTTCATTTAAACAGAAATATCTGATAACAAATATCTTGAAAATGATATTTTGTCCTACCAGACCAGACAGGAAGACTAACACACGTTCTTGAAGCATCTCATGTTGTTGGTGCAATTTTAATAATTCTAAGCTCCAATTTATTCTCATATTTTGACTGTTGTTTGGTAGTTTGCAATCTCAAAAGCACAGTGAGAAATTTCCAATTAATTAAAAAAAAAGGCATTAAATACTGTGTCCAAGAGGAGTCACAGAAAATAAAATTATATTTATAATCAGTCATTTTTATCATATTGTATTATTGCTCCTACACTGATGATACATGAAACACATCTCTTTTATGCAATTTTAAGTCCTATACAGCTTCATGGCTAAATTAGAAAAAGCTGATGAGTTTACTTGAGAGAGAAATTATTAAGCTGAGTAATTCTCTTGAAAGGACATTCTAGCTTTTCATCTAGCTACTTCAACAGCATAGAGAATATATATTACTAGCCTAGGCCTTCATAAAACAAGCCAAATGTGAGTTTTAGAGATGATTACAAGTAAGTGCTTTTGTGGTTAAAACAGATTTTGGATGGTAGCCAAAATGTATTGCTCATTGCTCATAGGATCTAATTCAGTGAACAATTCTAACTTCAATTTTCTTCCTTTATTTTATACAGTATATGTGAAATAAAAATCGAATCCAAAGCCTAATCCAACTGATTTCTTCTAGTGCCACTGTGGCTGTGCAGAGGAGAAGGATGCTGCTGTCCCGTTAGCTCACTGAGCCTTAACTGGGCACAAACCCTCAGAGGGAGGATTTTCTTTTGAGCTGCATTTACTCGTGATGTCAAAATACTGTCTGTGTGTGATGAGGGGGTACCACCAGCCAGCCTGTGAAACATAGACACAGTTCTGCCCTCTTAGCAGTCAGGGGGACAGGCTAAGTTGTTTTTGCGATGAGTTTCAGGTTAGATGCACTTAAGGCAAGTGAAACACATCCTTAGGAGATTTGCAGGCTGTAGTGCCTAATTTGCAGACTTTAGTTGATGGTCAAGGCACTGAGCTCTGACAAAATGGCATGGGCATCAGTAGAAGGATTTTAACTTATCTCCTTTTCTTAGCTGCTTTAATATACGGGATGGTTTTTTTTTTTTTTCAGTTTTTACCTATAGCTTTTGAAATTGTTGCATATTGTTGCATATTACTCAACTGGGGATCAAGATGCCTATAAAATGGATATTCTAATGCATAACTTGTTAGTGTCTATCTACTCTTTATATTCACGTTTTTCAGTTGATAACACTTTATGATGACAAGAAGACCTGAGATAACTTCTTCTATTTGAGTAGAAACAGAGTATTGTCAGAAGTTTTAAGTCAAGGAGGTATATTTTTCCAGAATAAATACCTGTATGACTATTTTAGCTGTTCTATTAAAAAGCCCATGTCTCGAAATTGAGCTCTGTGTTGTAGTTAATCATCCTTAAAGAGGGAAACAATCTTTTGGCAATTAGAATCCTAAAAGGCCCAGTGCACTCTAATGACTACTTTCCCTCTGTAGTTCTGCATAGCTCAGTGCTGTTAGCTCTTAGTTTACAGATTAAGACCAAATTGCATAAAAGCAAACATATAGCAAATACTTCTCATTTATGTTAAATGCTTACACATTACAAATGAAGTCTGGACCTGCATTAAAAAGCAAATGAAAATGATAATATTATCTCACACCTACATTAATGCATGATTATGAGACGTAGTTATACTGGAGACTTTTTTTTAACAGAATTTGAAAATATGTTGTGATACATCTTTAAGAACTCGACCAGCAAGAGGTTTAAGTTTCTTTGTTTTGGTTTGTTTTCTTTTTTAGTTTTTTCTCTGGTCTCCCAATACTTGACCTGTATATGGCTGCTCCTTGTACGGTGAAATGGAGTCTGTCTGCCTCATTGCTCAACCTTACAAAATTCCCATGGAATACAAGTACATCAGTGAGCTGAGTACAAGCCTTTCTTTCATGAGGATTTTTTAGGCCTGCATGTAAACTTGGACTGGACCTGAATGTGTGGAAGTTCGTAATCTTGCTTTTCATAATTTACCTACTTTTATGACAAAATTAAGAGAGTTTATTGTAATCTGATTTTATCTAGTTAAAAATGAACTCATCTGTTGAATACTGGTAATAAAAAAGCTGTGACTGTTATATATTGTAGCAGGAAAAATGGAAAGCAAACTTTGTTTCGACGTTATTGAGCTCAGACAGCAAATTAAACTACAGCTACATTTTACTGGCTATAAAACTCCATGCGAATTTAGCAGGGCTGCAGTTTTAATGCCATACCATGAGCATCCATTCCACTTCTAAAAAGCTCAGAGACTGCAATAGGTTTGATGTATCTGTCCACAAATCTTATCTGCGGTAGGATTAATAAATTTGGCACTAACAGCCTTAAAATAAGTAATTGCATGATAACATCTGGGCCTGGTACCTTGCATCTGTTTACCTGTGGTTGGACATGAAATGCAGATAAATTCCTTTTCTGACTCTGCAGTGGAGTGTGAGCCTTGCTGGTGCCAGAATGCCTCGGGCTGCACTAACAACCAAGCACAGTCTCAGAAAGAGATTGATGCACAAAAATTGCACAACACCTGGTACACCCCAAAATACACTAAAAACCACTGGGCAGAACCTTACACCCAGCAGCTGCATAATTGCACGTGCAGAAATCTTTGGCAGGGGTTAAGTACAAAATGATATGAGAACTGCAGCCCCTACCTCCTTGAGGAAATCATAAAAGAACTCAGGCATCACAAGGGGGAGTAATTTAATGGTATTACATAGGGAATTCAAAACTTATCCTTTTGCTTGAGTCTGGACTGTCTAAAATGACTTGAACTGAGCAGAAAAGTAGATGGAGCTGCTGCCTCTTTCACCTGAGGGCAGGAAGCAAGCTGGGGACAAAGAAGGAGGGCAGGTGTTCTGGCATTTGGAGAATGGGACAGAAGGAATCAGCAGAGCAGTGACCAAATGCCATTTTCTGTTGATTGTTTGCTTTGCAGAAGGCTGGGGATCATGCATGGGCATCCACAAGCTGCTGCTATGACAGCAGGTAAGAAAGGGGCATGTTACATCTTCTAGACCTCCAGAAATTAGATGCTTTTTTGAGCTCCCTGAACACCGGAACCCTTGCATAACAGCAGCATATCTTGAAGTTTGAAAAAGCTGCATCTCCAATACCTGTCCAGGGCAATCCTGCAGTCAGTGTGCTGGTATGGATTCAAGAGACCAAGGGAAAAATGTGAGACACAAAGGAAATTTTCTATTCTCTATGAAACAACTAGATAAATATACTGCTTGAGTGTCAGGATTTGAAATTGAGAGTTTAGGTCATGGGCCGTATTCTCTAAAGATCTCTCTTGTTTAATAAAAGGCACTAATGGATAGTTGTTTCTCAACCTTTCAAGTATTACCTGCACAGTGACTGGAGTGGTTTTCTGTTTCCTCTCTTGCATACTGCCAGTAGAGAGCAGAGTGAATTGACTCCTCTGAAACAGGTATCACAATCTGAATCTAGATTCATTTTGCATAAGTCTCATTCACTATGTTAAGCTAAAAAGCAGAGGAAATAATCTCTCAGATTTACTTATTTTATGTACAAACTGGCCAGGTTCTACCATTACTTCAAACAAAAGCATTTTGTTGGTGTTTGCACAGAGGAAGAACCTTTTTTCTTGTTTCATAGCTAAAATAGAATCTGAAGAAAATTAAAGCAAGGACTGTGCTATGAAAAAGAATTTATATTGTTTACAGCTGCACTTTTAAATACAAAATAAAACATAATATTTTATATGCAGCGTATAAATAACTTGACTTCTGGTGCAACCAGTATAAACACCTGATTTGCAGCAAGTGAGGACTATCCAGAAACAGATCATGACTGAGCTAAACTGATTATGCTTTGCTCTATTCGTTGATTAACAAGACTGATACCTTGCTGGATATCCAAAGCTCAGATAAAAAATGCAACGTCTCTTTAACGAATATGTTCTTTGTACAAGTGTCAGCTGGAATGGTACCATGTAACCAGGCCCTGGATAGAGTGACTGAATGCCTGAGTCACTGATTTGGGATACTTTGAATGTATCTGGATACATTAATTGCATTGATGACTGACAATTCCTGGTATACCCTTACTTTAACATGCCAAGTAATTGTACCCATTCCTTGCCAGGCTGAGCATTGCAGAGGATACCAGTATTAGGTCATGACATATTAATAGCAACTTAATATTGAACTTGGGAACTTACTCAACATAATAAGTGCCATAAATGGGATCATCAATTTTCTCCCAGCCATACGGAAGCTCTGAAAAACAAAGAGTTAATCTCTCTCAGTAAATGCAGTACAAAATGCAAAGATTTCTAATAACAAAATTGTGGATCTTTGCTGGGTGTTGAGGGAAATAATAGTGAAAGGAGATACAGTGACTAAAGCAAATGCCAAATCCTGAACACATCCCATGGCAGCCACAAGTAGCAGTAACTTGGAAATTTGCATGTAAAACCAGCTCTCAGTGTCTAGAGCAACACATTTTGGTTGAACTTCTTTATTGCTCCAACTGTTGTACCAGCCAACAACTGTAGCATACCTGGTGTGACATCACTGCCAGAGGAAGTGAGGGCATTCTATTTTCACAAATAGGTACACACAAATAAAGTAATTTGCTTTTTTTTTTTTTTTGAATCCTGGAAAAGTTGGTCTAGAAGGAATGAAAAAAAAGTTTGTCTCCTGCCATATAAGTACAGTTAGTATACATAAATGTTTGCATTATACTTCATACTGTGATGGCAATTCCACAATCTTCAAAGGCATCCTGTTCAAAAGGTTAGTTATATATCAAGAACACAGGAGCACAAAACAGTACATGAAAGTACAAATCAAAATAAGATATTGTAACATCCTGTGGACATAAAGCTAACTACATTTTTCAGTAACAGAGATCCCTAAAACATTCTGGTCTTAACAATGAAACTGTTACAAATACTAATTCAATAATCTTGAAAATTAATCTGCATTCACTTATAACCAAACTGCCACATATATATTAATGTACATCCATACTTATTTTATTATCACTGACACTGAATGCTTAAAAAAATCCTATACTGCCAACAGAATTTCATTTTGTGTTTAAAAGGCACCAGACAGAGGCAACAAGTATCTCAGCTGACATGAACAGAGTAAAAATCTCAGTACCAGACGTGGTCACTTGGATGGAGGAGACTCACAAAGGGATGGGCATTCCCATTATGCACATATATTGATTTCTGTGCAGTTAAAGACAATGACACAATGTATGTGGTACTGAGATTCTAAATGGAAATTTGACTCTGGAATTCCTTATGTCAGATTTTTTTTTAAATTTTAAACTCCGTTGCACTGTTTTAAAGTAACTTTTTGGAGACAATGAGCACTGAATTAGACAGAACAGAACTGATGTAGATCATATTGAACAGTCATTACACCAGTCATAAAGAAGTACTCATAGACTTGAGATTTTTTTTTCTGACTGACAATATGAATAGACAATTATTGACTTAATCAAAGAGGCAAATAGGAAAGTAAAGCCTGAGTGGCAAAAGGGTTAAAAGGCCATTTTAATCTCTACTTGTTACTTCTCATTTAAATACATCTGTAGTAGCTGATCCTTTCTTGAGTGAAGCTGTTTAGACTGCTGTGATCTTCATGTCACATTGCCCCCAGGGGATGTTCCTGCTCAGCCTATTCCAATCGTGCAATGAAGGATACAACAAACCTCTGCCATAGAGGAATTGCCACATTACTTTTTTTTTTTTTTTTTTAAAGAAGGCTTAATGTTGATACTAATTTTTTCCTATTAATTCTTAGAATATTGTTAGCTTTGAAATCTTCCTAAGTCCACACTCTGAACTACTTTCGTCAGGGCAATTTTGTTATTGCCACTTCATAGGAATAAAGGCAGCAGCATAAGGTATTCAAGCAGGTCACAGAATTACAGAATGGTTGATGTTGGAAGGGAACTTTGGAGGTTGTCCAGCCCAAGCTCTCTGCTCAAAGCAGGGTCTGCTAGACCAGATTGCTCAGGACCATCTTCAGTCAGTGCTTGAATACATCCAAGGATGGAGACTCCACAACCTTTCTGGGGAGCTCAGTCTGTGTCCTTTTGCCCACTGTCCTGCCACCAGACATCACTGCAAAGAGACAGGTTCTGTCCTTGCACCTCCCTTCATATATTTATTTAGATTGACAAAATCTCCTTGAACCTTCACTTCTTCAGGCTAAACCATCCCAGGACTCTAATCCTTTCCTCACAGGAGGGATGCTCCAATCCCTTGATCATCTTAGTGGCCATTCCCTTCTCTTCTTTATGCCTATGTCTCTCCTGTGCTGGGAGCCCTGGATCCAGCCCTCCAGCTGAGTCTCACCTGTGCTGAGCAGAGGGGCAGGGTCATTTCCTTCATCTGCTGGTGATGCTCTGCCAAGTGCAGCCCAGGAGGCTGCTGACCTACGTTGGTGCAGGGGCACATCGCTGGCATGTCAAGGCTCTGAGCATCAGAAAGCCCTGGTGATGCTCTTTCCAGACCTCAGAACCTGAGTAAAATGAGGTGAGTCACCCTACAATGGCTCTCACAAAATCATGTCTATCTTGGGAGAAGACTGTGCAATGTAGTCCATAAATATTCAAAAAGGAATCAGCTGATGCACAAATCCTGTACTGCCCCTACAGAAAGTTTCATTGCCAATTCACGCATGATAAGCAAGGCAAAATTCTCCTATAAAAATGATGACTTTACCAAACACTATGACATGGGATGAATACAAAATATTAGCTTAAGTACTATTAGTATATTTTATTTTCATGTAACTTTGCATGGTTTCCTTCTGCTAATTAACTTGATGTTGCTTTCCTATCTGTCCATCTAAAACAATGTTTCCTTAGAGAAAACTCTGATAGGTACCAGTAAGACCTGTACATAAAAATACACACAAACATGCACACATCCCCATATACATACACACACAGGTGTGCATAGGTTCCTCTCCCTAAGTCCATTAGTAGACGCATTTTTTTCCAAGTATGAAGTAAATAAATAAAAAAAAAAGTAGGTATTTTGTCCAGCTTTGAAAGTGGGTATTTTTAATATAAGTATATACACTACAAGTATATAGATGCAGATAGCATATTTCATTTTATGTATTTATAAAAATCTGAAATAATTGAGGATTCACTATTAACCTATTGGCCTATTTTTTCCTGAAGTAATACTTAATTGTACTTATGAACTGGCAAAATTACTGAGAAGGAAAAAGAAAAATTCCATTTACTAGTGTAAAAGTTTGTAAAAACTTAATGTATTTGCCACACTAAGGAGAACCCGCTTTTAAATGCATGAACGACTGAGTATTTAACATCATAAGATAGCCTTGGGTTCAGAAGAAAGAAAAACAAGATTACCTTTGTGTACCATAATACACTCCATGTAAGGTTATGCTCTGATTTTATGATTTTATTTAAGATTTGGCCTATAAGCTATGTTTAATTAAAATTCAGTGTTGACCAGTAAAACAGAATTGCTAGAGCACAAACCCCAGTCCCTGCCTGTCAAGAATGGCAGATAAGATTAGCAGAGTGTAGTTTACTACACTCTTAGAGGTTCTCTAAGAAGAATCTTCTGCTACATTAGCTTTCAGGAGCACTGTGATTATTTTTCATTAAATTAAATAGTGGCATCTATTCCATTTTTCAGTATTGAATGAAAGATTAAAGGACAGAAATACTTTACTGCTTCATAAAACAGGAAGCTAAGCATTTGCTTGAGTAGAGGTGAGGGCATTACAATTTCTCCTTTTGATTTCACTGTACCGAGGGATGATTATTAGGGATGAAAGTGAACAGTAAATATTTGTTAAAGAGAATTGTTGTAAAACATTAGTGAAGGAGATTGCTGATGGCCACCATGATGTGAATAGGGAAAGGAGCTTTATCTTAGAGCTGATATTCATTTGGCAGCAGCAGCATGCTCATTAGTGTGCAATTTTTTGCAAGCACTAGTTCATGGATACTGTGCTATAATGTGACAGACATCGTCATCTTTAGGAGTGCAACACTTCTACCACTCTTGTCCTCCAAGTCTATAAACTGCTGAAGGCTTTCTCTCTATAGAAGGAAAAAAAAATCTACCTTTTATTTTTACATCTTAAATATTTATCATCCTTCTATCATACAGTGCTGTGCCTGTTCCTAAAATCACCTTTTAAAAATCAGTAATAGTTTGTGCAGTGGTTGGCAATGCAGACACCATGAGTAGACACCATGAGTAGATGTCAGGGTGCTGGATAATCTGTATGGTACGTTTATATCCTCCAGTTTTGCAATGCATGCTTTATTCCTTACAAGAATAAATATATATATATATATAAAAAATATATATATAATATAATATAATATAATATAATATAATATAATATAATATAATATAATATAATATAATATAATATATAAATACAAGAGAAGCAGCATCTAGCCAACACCAGTCACCCAAAACAACCTTGGCTCGGTAAACATCTGTGTGAGCTTTTAATTCAGAAGATACTGCCTTTCTAAAAGTTAAATGCCCAGTGGAAATGAAAGTCAGAAGAAAAGAAAGCAAGAAAACAAGCAAGAAAGCAAGAAAGCAAGAAAGAAAGACAAAAAAAAGAAAAAGAGAAAAAGAGAAAGATGGAGAAAGAAGGAAAAAAAAAGGAAGACTAATATGAATTTGAGTGGGCCACTTTAATAATCAATTGTAGTGCCTTCTCATCACAGACTGCTTATGCTAATGGTGCAGATGCCCTTATTCTGCCTTCTGAAAGCTGTTGCATTTCAGAATGATTTTAATGGTGCTACTTAACATTCTCTAGGGATGGAGGAAAGAGTACATTTTGGATCTCAGTGTGCCAAGATGAAAAAGCATACTACCAAGCCCGGAGATTAATTTTTCTGAAGTTTATAATTTACTAACTCAGTTAAAGAGTCATCAAAACTTCTCAAGGTTTCAGAACAACAGACATTGTGTCACTACCCTACTGACAGGCTGGAAAGAAAGATGAGAGAGTGTTTCCTGATTCAGCTGCAAATCAAAATATTTGTATAGTTTAAAGGAATACAGCATTAGAGAGAAAAAGAAAATACCTGCTGTTATTGAAAATACTGTCAATGAGCAGTAGAAGCCGTGGAAGTCAACATAAGTTTGGTTCCACCTGCCTTGTTAACACCCAGGCACAGGCCAGGAATAGTTTTCTAACCTGTATAGAGATTTTTCAGAAAAATACTGTATCTTCCCACT